CGAGGAGGTTTTTCCAGGGATCTGAGTTCCTGCTGCCCATGGACTTCTTACTTACAGCACTCAAAGCCCAGATGTTCAGTTTATACTTTAAATGTAAGTTATATATAGACCACAGACCCATCACATCACAGAAAAGGAGATTTTTTTTTGTGCTCTAGTATGAAACACCCATTACCATTTAAGTTGGATACGTTAACTGTGGTGTTTGGAGGCACCAATGCAAGCACCTGTTATTCCTATGTCTCTACTCACAGCAAGGCTTTTACTTTCTTGTTCATCAGCACTTTTGATAATTCAGCGCAGCTCCAAGTATGTCAAGTCAGTCAAGCACATCTCAGGAATGGTGCAAGGAAATTCCGTATCAGTAAAGTAACCTTCGTCCCTGGTAGGAATGAAATAACTCTCTGAATGAAAATAAATGACTTTGATTTAGAGACCAAGAACATCACAAAACTGAATAAAGCCTATTACTTTTCATTGGATAAAATCTATTACCTTAGGCTCATGGTCAGCTTTTACTATATACCATTTAACCCAGAAACTAAGCAAGAATTGTTTTGGAAGATGAGCAACCTCAGAGAAGGCCTTGTGCTGAAGCTGGGTTGTTTGGCTGACTGTTTGTGTTCAGCACTTACAGATAAATCACTATCCCTAGAAATCTTTGGAATGATGAAATCTGCAGTTGTGATTCTAGTATTTAAGTTTTCTATCTGTAAGAAAATTTAAAATTGATTGGTAGGCAACCTTGGAGGTTTGTTTGGTTGTTTTTTTTAATTTAGAAATAAACTCTTAAGCCCTACATAAATGTTTAAATTCCTTAAAATTAACGGAATCATTTTGGTGAGAGTTCTGCTATATTCAAATAGTAAGATAAATTTATGTCATTTACAGACATCTTCTGACAAATAAAGGGCTTTTGCCACAGAAGGAACAAAAAAAAGCCTACATACACCATTGACCTGAAGACCAGCAAGCGAGCTTCAACATCCACAGGGTGTCCTACCCAGGGTGCCAGATACACTTAGCTGAATCACCAAAGACCGACTGGAAAGTATATCTGGATGACCTTTGCAGGCATTTGACTTTGAAACACCAGAAACATCAAATATTACTATCTGAAGGAAATGTACAGCACATGTTGTTTCATAGGAAAATGGAAATCAAACAGGCACTTAGTGAAACCCTCAAAGCAATTTTGATATGGTCTTGCTCTTACAGCCAAGGAGTCTTAAGTAGTTCAGCTTCATTAAGGGCACAGTTCAGTTGCCCAAACACAGATGTCTGCTGTCTTTGGCAATGCCTTACTGTACCCTGTCCAGCATCGAGCTACTGGTCCAGAAGGATATTATCACCCATAGATGCTGCTAACCCTGCTAAGCGCTAGAGTATCTCAGATAGCATGAGATCTCAACGTTGAACTCGGGGTGCCCAAGTTCAAACTACATAGCACTGTATAGCAACCCAAATAAGCTTAAAAGCACAATTGCTGGTACCCATGCTTGTGGAGCTAGCAGGAATTTTGCCACCCACCTCACCATGGGAGGCACGAGGTGACACGGTATTCACAATATTCAAATACATATATGCAAAATTAAATGAACCAATGCAAAGCAGCAGGAAGCAGAAGAGAAAAAAACCCAAACCTCTAAAAAGAATAAGCTTGATCAACAACAGTAAAAACAAGAAACACTGCTCGTCACACAGTTATATCTGAAAAGTTTCCTTCTGATGGTGATGCTTGTTTGTTATTCTCAAAATGTTATACTGAAAGACTACCAGGTACTTTAACATCTGCCAAGTCTAGTGTAGTGCTCCCTAGCAGGGAAACTGCGAGAATCATTCAATCACTACTACTGTATTATTTTCTTGTGAGTTTTCTCCTATTATGGGGCTTACTTTTAACATTTCTCTGTATTTGCATAGCGCTATCAAATCACGGCACCGACCTCCTATCTCCAGCACTGTGCATGCAGGCACAGATAACAGGCAGACAGTCCCCACCTTGACCATTTACAAGTAAGCCAAAGTCAACAGGCAGGTGAAACAAACAGAAACAGGGATGACAAAGCAATTAGGGTCATACTGAACAGGACAAACAGTGATCTCAGTATTTCAAACAGCCTAATCACGGCCCAGTTTCCAGTGGCATTACAGAAGGGTAGAATTTTAAATAGAGGTTTGAAGAAGGTCGGGGAGCTGATGGATAATATATTTATAAGGCAGCCCCCAGCTGCATGGGAGAAAGTAGACAAGGTGCTTGCTGAGAAACGCAGCAGAAGGGTCAAAGAGGTCAGCACCACTTGCAAAGTAGAGGCGGGTGTCCACATCTCCAAAGCACGTAAGAGCTAATAGGCAGGCATAGAACAGTGATATAATAGAGCATAAGAGGGGTGGTCACATGCATTAGAAACATGCATGGGAAGAGAAGCGTTTCAGGCTGGAAACGAATGTTTGCATTCAGTTTGGATCGTCTTCTCACTTCCTTAACCCTTGAGATTTAGCACTGGCTCAGGAAGGAGCATCATGTCTGTGGACCACGTGCTGTGGTCAGACACAGACACTCAATAATCCCCAAACACCAGAGTTCACACCGTCCCACGTTGGAATCCACTCTCCCCCTTTTTCCCATCAAAATACATCAGCACCTATTTAAGCATAGCATTATTTATGTGCTCTTAAATTAAAACTACTTTAAGCCACCACAGAGAACTTCCAGTCTCTCCCTTTTTATATATCCTTTCCCGCTGCCAAGAGAAGGGTAAAAAGATAACGAGTGTGTCTCCAGGCGACAGCAAGAGCAGCACGAACGTGAACTCTCCTGACAGCAGAGAGAAGTGCTTCTCATTTCCCAGCACTGTGGCCCCGGCACATTTTGGTGAGTGGGGAGATGCTGAGCTCTCCAGTAGGCATTTTTTTCTTGCGTTGAACTGGAGGAACTCGTGCCAATCTCAAACTAAAAAAAAAAAAAAATCTAGCTCCAGGTAAGGTAAAATATTCAAGCTTTGTAATACTCCTCCACTGAAATCATTAGAAGAGCAGCTGTAGTATTTTCAAGGTGTTCTTAAGTTACTAATGCTAAGTCAATCATGAAAATGTTCCTTCTTCTGTCTTTATTAATTCACAAATATTTTCAAAAACCATGCTTAAACCTAATATCCTAATCCTAATATTTGGACTACAGAGTCACAACAGATGCTTTTATTATAGTGTGCTCTCTGATTTTGGCCACGTTTTTCTTCCATAAAGCGTGCACCAATAATGCACAGGTAGCCTTTATGACTTTAGCCCTCTGCCACTCTCCAGCATTCCCTGATGGATATAAGAGCATAAAACGAAAACAAATAAGTTACAAAAGTGTCCCTGCAAAGGGGGCTGTTGATCTGTGAGCCAGAAAGTCAGTAAGTCATCTTTGCCAGGCTCAACAGTAACAGCTCCTGCTGTTTGACACAAAATCAGAGATTTCGGCTCCAGCGTTATCATCTAGCTACTGTACACCAACCTGACATACAGAGTTGCCTTTAGACCACAGAATCCATCCCAGCCTGTGTGCTAAGGAATTGCTTAAACTGGGGACTGGCTGGGGAGCGTTCACACATCACAGCATCAGCCATTATTATCATTCATCTTTCCAGTATGGCATTATCCAGCACGTCCGACACTGCTATGTGTAAGCCTCAGAGCATTCCTCAGCCTTTTTCAAGATACTTCAAAGGAGGCTCAGCCTTGAAAAAAAGGAGTGTGCACTGAGTTGGGATAAATCAAGGCATAAACATTACTTCAGCCCTAACCCCCGTCACCCAGAGGGCTGGCGATGAGTTTTTCTTTCACGGTTAATTCCGGCTGCTACAGAAGCAGCCTCGGCCAACTCAGGAGGTGCACTATTTGCATGGGAGGTATGGCTTGTAGTGCAGGTCCCAAACACCTTCTGCTTCCCTAGTTTTAGTTCCTTAGTGTTAGGTCTACTCTGAGAAAAATATCCCACCCTGCTCCACACTTTATTTAGTCCAGAGAGGTCAGAGAAGAGGAAAGAAAAACACCTTAGGATGGTTTCTACACAGAGCGATTTCACATCTGATATTTTGTCTCTGTGAACAGATGCTGTTTCCATGCCAAGTCCCACTGATTTTGGTGGGATTCCGGGCACAGGCTAGGAAGAAACTCTAAAGCTCTGTATTATAAAATACCAGAAATTAGTTTTAAGACCATTACAGTTTTTCTCTTTTTTGTCCATTTCCCTCTAACCTAAGTCTTCCCTGCCCAAACATGCACAAACCGGACAATTATAAGGGATGCTACACGGCTGGGTAGTTTACTGACTCTCTGAATCCAGCCTTGCCAAACTTTGGGGCAATTATCTAAATATTGACCATAGTTCATGTTGGAAAATCCCAATATCACATTTTGAATGATATTTTCCAGTTTCTTCCACCTCAGCCTCCATGATGTGCTGAGTGTCCTTCTCACTGTGTTCTGAAGATCTTAAAATCCCTTGAGAACTCCCTATGTCACAAGTCGCAGCTAGCGATTCCAAACAGATGCTGCTGGGTCCCAGCCCCACGGTGAAGAGGGCAGAAGAGAGCCCCTGAGTCCACCAAAACTGAGATCCCTGCATACCCTCTCCATTTAAAGCTAGAGAAACCTCAAGCAATGCAGCACAGAGCCCGCGAGGGAAAACTATGGGGGAAACCACTTTACAGGTGAGGTCTGTGCTTCTCTGGGTTCTGGGTTGAGTGGTTCCACCAGCTCCCAGGGCTGAGGAGACGGGCAGCACTGGCCTTCAGCCACCGTGCGGGAAGCCCTGTCCCGTCCTGCCTGCCGCCCACGGAAGGAATGAGGAGCCAGAGGCAGGTTTATTTTGGGCATTAATAAGCAGATCACCTTAGTCAGGCTGACTTTTGCCTGCCAGATTTAAGTGCCACTCGTCACAGGATCTGCCCGGGGCTCCTGGAGGAGGGGAGGGTCGCAAACCCAGGTTTCCCCAGCAGCCCCTCACACCCTACCTTGACGAAGAGAGAGATGTCGTGTTCCTGCTTCTCCCCATCCTCCTCTTCCTCCTCCAGGGCGGCCGGCGAGCCCGTCTCGTCCTCCTC